AGACAGGGCAGAAACAATCTGAACAGCAATTGGAGAAAAAAAATAAAAAGCAGGAGGAGAGCCTAAGGGAGCTTTGGGACAACATAAAATGAAGTAACATACATATAATAGGGGTGCCAAAATGACAAGAAGAGGAGCAAGGATTAGAAACCCTATTTGAAGAAATAATGACAGAAAACTTCCCTGATTTAGGGAAAGAAAAAGTCACATAAGCACAGAGTTCCAAACAAGATGAACCCAAAAAGACCCACACCGAGAAACGAAATAATTACACTGGCAAACATTAACAAAAGAGAACCTTAAAGGCTGCAAGAGAGACAGAGAGTTACCTACAAGGGATCTCCCATTAGATTATCAATGTATTTCTCAATAGAAATAAATCAGGCCAAAAGGGAATCGAATGAAGTATACAAAATGATGCAAAGCAAGGGACTAAATCCAAGAATAGTCTATCCAGCAAGGCTATCATTCAAAATTGAAGGGGAAATCAAGAGCTTCGCAGACAAAAAAGGGCTAATGGAGTTTATCAATACCAAGCCAGCAATGTAAAAAATGTGAAAAGGACAGCTGTAAATAGAAGAAATAGAAAGGAAAGAAAGAAAACAGACATAAAAATAAAAATGGATCCAAAGAATAATAATAACCTTAAACATAAATGGATTAAGTGCTCCAATCAAAGGACATCGAGTGGCTGAATGGATAAGAAAACAAGCCCCTTATATGCTGTCTATAAGAGACCCACCTCAGAACAAGGGACTCACACAGACTGATAGTGAAGGGATGGAAAAATATCTTTCAGGCAAATGGAAATGAAAAAAAAGCTGGGGTAGCAGTACTTATATTGGAAAAAATACACCTCAAAGTGAATGCAGTAACAAAAGATAAGGAAGGTCACTTCATAATACCAAAGGGATTGATACAAAAACAGGATATAACTCTGGTAAACATATATGCACCCAATACAGGGACACCCAAATACAAAAAAAAAAACTTCGGGAAGATATCAAGAAAGAGGTCGGCAGTAATACAATCATAGTAGGGGATTTTAATAGCCCTGTGACATCACTTGATAAAGCCTCTAGACCAGTGGTTCTCAACCTTCTGGCCCTTTAAATACAGTTCCTCATGTTGTGACCCAACCATAAAGTTATTTTCGTTGCTACTTCATAACTGTAATGTTGCTACTGTTATGAATCGTAATGTAAATATTTGATATGCAGGATGGTCTTAGGCGACCCCTGTGAAAGGGTCGTTGGACCGCCAAAGGTGTTGCGACCCACAGGTTGAGAACTGCTGATTTAAGTGCAGGTGCAGAGTTGGCCATTGAGACTGAAGTTCATGAAGAATGCTCTACACAAAAAATCAACAAAGAAACATCAATCCTAAATGACTCACTTGATCACATGGACTTAATTGACATCTTCAGAACATTTCACCCCAAAGCTACAGAATATACATTCTTCTCAAGTTCACATGGAACATTTTCAAAGATAGACCACATATGGGATCATAGGCAAAGTCTCTCCAAATAAATAAGATTAAAATCATATCAGGCATCTTCTCAGATCACAATGGCATAATATTAGAAATCAACTACAATAAAAACAATCAAAAAATTAAAACACTTGGAAGCTGAATAGCATGCTGTTAAACAATGATTGGGTTACCAAACAGATCAAAGAAGAAATAAAAAAAACATCCTGAACACAAATGACAATGAAAACACAACAATCCAAAATCTATGGGACACAGTGAAAGCAGTCCTGAGAGGGAAGTTCATAGCATTACAGGCCTACCTCAAAAACAAGAAAATTGGTAATAAATTATCTAACTCTAATACTTAAAGAATTAGAAAGAGAGCAACTAGAAAAGCCCACAGTGAGTTGAAGAAGTAGATAATTAAGATCAGAGCAGAAATAAATGACAGAGACCAAAAAAAACCAATACAAAAGATCAATAAAAACAAGAGCTGGTTCTTTGAAAGAATAAACAAGATTGATGAGCCTCTAGCCAGGCTCACCAAGAAGCAAAGAGAGAGGACCCAAATAAACAAAATCAGAAATGAAAGAGGCAAAGTAACAACAGAACCCACAGAAATACATAGCAAAAAAAATACTATGAACAACTCTATTCCAACAAATTGATCAATATAAAAGAAATGGACATATTCCTAGAAAAATACGACCTTCCAAAATCTCAATCAGAGCCCTGACCGGTTTGGCTCAGTGAATAGAGCGTCGGCCTGCGGACTGAAGGGTCCCAGGTTCAATTCCAGTCAAGGGCACGTACCTTGGTTGCGGGCACATCCCCAGTAGGGGGTGTGCAGGAGGCAGCTGATCGATGTTTCTCTCTCATCGATGTTTCTAACTCTCTATCCCTCTCCCTTCCTCTCTGTGAAAAATCAATAAAATATATTTTAAAAAAAACTCAATAAGAAAGAATAAAAAATCTGAATAGGCCTATAATTATGGAGGAAATTGAAAAGCCCTGGACCAGATGGCTTCACAGGGTAGTTTTAACAATCATTCAAAGAACTAAAACCTATCCTCCTCAGACTATTCCAAAAATTTCAAGAGAAAGAAACACTTCCAAGCTCTTTCTATGAAGCCAAAATTACCCTAATCCAAAAACCAGATAAAGACACTACAAAGAAAGAGAATTACAAGGCAATATCCCTGATGAACATAGATGCTAAAATCCTCAACAAAATCCTAGCAAATTGGATCCAGCATTACATCAGAAAGATCATACACCATGAGCAAGTGGGATTTATTCCAAGGATGCAAGGGTGGTACAATATCTGCAAATCAATAAACATGATACATCACATAACCAAACTGAGAGATAAAAATCACAGTCATATCAATTGATGCAGAAAAAGCATTTGACAAAATCCAAAAACCTTTATTGATAAAAACCCTCAGCAAAGTAGGAATAGAGGGATCATACCTCAACATAATAAAAGCCATATATTGCCGGGAGCCGGTCCATCCTTGCTGTTTCAAGGGACCTGGCATATATGGCATACTGTTCTTAATATGTTTGCTCCCCTTAGCGCTATGTGTTTTAACCAAGGTCACCTCTCTGAGAAAGGTTGTTTCCCAAGGTGGGGATTTTTCCCTGAAGTTAGGGAGGGGATAAAACCCCTTAACTAAGTGCCAGGCGGGTAGTTAATCACTTTAACTACAAACAATCACACTTAAGCTACATAATCTTTACTCCCTGGAATGGAGATAAGAAACGCCCTAACCTTTGGAATAGAGATTGATAGGATTGGAATCAACTGGTATAAATACAGATGTAACAAGACAACAGGACACAGAACCTAGGGACAGGACTTGGCTGGAGATCCTATACAGAACCTAGAGACAGAACCTAGGGAGAGAACATGGCAAAAGATCCTGGACAGAACCTGGCTACAGAACCTGGATAGAACATGGCAAGAGAACCTGACTAGAACCTGGTGACTGAACCTGGCTGGAGATCCTAACCAGAACTTGGCTGGAGATCCAAACCAGAACTTCGCTGGAGATCCCAACCAGAACTTCTCTGGAGATCCTGACCAGAACTTGGCTGGAGATCCTGGCTAGAGATCCTGGCTAGGCTGCTGATCAACTGAACGCTGTCTCTGTGTCATTCCCTCATCGCTGACTCCGTCCACACCTTTGGGGACTCCTGGACCTGCTGGGGCTGGACCCCAGCAATATATGACAAACCTACAACCAACATCATAGTCAATGGGCAAAAACTAAAACCATTTCCCCTAAGAACAGGAACAAGACAGGGATGCCCACTCTCACCACTCCTGTTCAGCATAGTATTGGAAGGAACTAGTCATGACTCAGAACGTTGGATAGATTGACCTATTAAAAACTAAAATGATACATTAAGGCAGCGATCACCAACCTTTCAGACCTCATGGACCACCGGTTGGCAACCTCTGCTCCAAAGGTTTCCTTAAACCAGCGATCACCAACCTTTCGGACCTCACAGACCACCAGTGGTCCGCAGACCACCAGTTGGTGACCGCTGCATTAAGGTATAAAATTACACATAAATAGTATAATTTAAAATTGTACCATTTAGAATCCATGACTTCTTATAACCACTTTCAACACCTTAATTACTGTCTTTCCTGTAAACAGCACCTCTCTGTATTCAGCCTCACAAATTATTACAGCAAGGTGCATTTTTGTATGTTAAACTAAAAAAAAGGAAAAATCAGTGTGTGTGAGACTATCACAATGTCTCACTCATGCATTGCTGTCATATTCTATAGTATATTCATGTTTGTTTTTATATAAAATTAATGTCCCCAAATACTTAAAAAGTAAAACTGGTGCTCCTGACACTCCCGCCTGCACTGGCTGGTGTGGGCACCCTAGCTGAGAAGACATCTAACTTTGCAGCATTAGAAGTATTAAAATAATCAATATGCAACATTCATTATAACACCAAATATTGTGAGTTTCACCACAGTTGACGAGCTGGAAAATTTTCTTTCCCCTGACTCAGTTCCCCACCCAGGAGTGAGATGGTGTGGATGCTACTATGTCTGTCATCATCACTTGCTTACTATGTGCCAGGTGTTATATTAAGAGCATATGGCAGTCAGCTAGTTGACTATCTTACTATATATTCTCCACTTTTATAACAAAAGATGATGAAATTTGGACATTGCTGTATCTTTTCTGAGCATAGTCTGTATTTTTTCCATTTCTCCAGGAATGAAAACGTGAATTCTCACTAGCATATGAATCCCTAGTCCACCTCAAATCTTCCTCAAGACTTCTTGAAGTGTAGTTGTTAAGCACTTCAGTCTACCACATACACTTTTGGATAACTATTATTAAATTTACTGGTTTGGTAGTGTGCATGTGTGTATTCTTGTATAATGTCCAAAAACAGCATAGGTATGAGATTATACAATTAAGTCTACAGTTAAAGGGTATTTACAGGGAAAACCAGTAATATCCAATTGCAGAGAAGAAAAATATTACCTTCATTATAAGAGAACTATTCCAAGATTTTACAAGTTCAATAGCTCTCAGATCTTGCCAACTAATGAAGTTGTGAAAATGATTTCCCGTTTTCCTAAGAAAAATGAAAACAACATTTTGAAAGTCAATATAAATCAGAGACTATCTATACTAATAGAGAAATATGCAAATTATCTGTTACACCATAACATCACAACCAGATCAGCAGGCTGTGTCCCCGCCCTCTGCTCAGGCAGCTGCAAGGCCCAGGGTAGGATAGGATACGATAGGAGAGGGTAAGAAAGGAGAGGGAGAGGAAGGCAGGCCTGCAAGGAGACAGGCGAGAGGAGAAACAGAAATACAGAAAAGGAACAAGAAAAAGATGCAGAAATGGAAAAGGGAAGGAAACGCGGGGGTGCACACGGGAGGGGGTGGTGACCACAGGGGGTGGGGAGAGCAGGTGCACCCGGCAAGGGGTGGGGCAGGAGCCCCGAGAGACACAGGAGGAGGACAGTGGCCCCCAGCGCGGGCCATTGGCGGGGCACCCACGGGTCCAGGCACCCATGGGTCCAGGATGGAGTGGTGGATGGTCCGAGGCCTTCTGGGCAGAGGTGCTCCTGCTTCTCGGCAGCAGCAGCACCCAGGCCATGTGGGCCTTGGCCACCTCGCTGGGCCAGGCGTCCCGGGCAGGGAATGGGAGCAGGATGGCAGTGGGGAGGGCGGGGGAGGGGGCGGGGGCAGAAAACACCTGGCCGGGCTGAGCCCTGGGCTTGGGGTTAATACCCCCGTGAACGGAAGCCTTAAGAAGAGAAGGAAGGAGGGAAGAACTTTATAAAGGAACCAGTAGAGAGCAGAGTTAAAGAAGGAAAGAGGATGTATGAGTGAACTGTAGGAGCTATAATGAAAATCAAGTATAGTTGTGTACTGGGGACAGATTTTAAAAGTAGGAGTCAGGAAAGAAAAAAGATAAATGATAGTGAATAATTAGGCAGGTAGATAGATAGATATTAAAACAG